GCTGATGCACATTTTCAGAAAAAAACATTGAGATGTTGCCATTAAGATTGGTCTGGATAATATTTATTTAGAGCAACTGATTATATCATCTTTGTTCTAAAACTTTACCTACAGACCTTTGTCTACATTATTGACGTGTTTTAGCTTATTTATGTATAAACCGGTGCTCTAGACAAAATCTTACAATATCCAGAGCGACCACAACCGCCTGTACGTACCAAGAAGTTACAGTTTAAGAATTCATTTCAATGATAACATTAGGTCGTCACTAATTATTATGCAGTAGCACACTCGGGACACCCAGGAGAGCATAATGAACAGCATGATGAAATCAAACATTGTGCACAAATCCAATAAATTGTCAAGAGAAATGCAATTAAAAGCTAGACTCCAGTGACTATTTATTATGAGTAAATAAAGCCCCTCTCGTGGTCCTATATTTGCTTTCTTGTGACAGATATATTACCTTAGTCAGTAGCCAGCGACGGCCCTACCATCGTAAATTTGCAAGCAAAGATTAGGTATAGATGATGGTGTCACTCGACGTGTGGAGGCTATTCGATTTGTTCCTTTGTCATGCTCGATTTCAGACTTAAGCTGCTTGTATTTTGAGTGCCATATTGACACAAAGGATTGATTTTGAATTTTGTGTTAAACGCTGTATGTTTCGATTGCAACCTTAACCAACATCCAGAGACTATAGTAATGTAGTCTTCATCGTTCAAAACTATAGTATACATGTACTGGACTGCGATTATGTAAACTTTTGTGCATAATGGCGATGTAAATAAAAGAGTAGTCAGAGGAACCTGTCGATGTGTTGCTAGTGGCTATAGATTTAATCTTCTTGGATAAATGTGTACTACTATCTAATTTATCATGTCGGACGTCCACTTCCCCCACGTTACGGTCAAGCTCCACCTACATTTGCATTTGGCCGGTCACATAATTTCATTGTTTATGAGACCCGTGTTAGTTTTAGTGTTTTTGTCCTCTACACGTGGGCGTTTGTTTTTTTTTATGTTCACACCGAAAACACTGACATATTTTACGACAATCCTTCATGTACCACTGGAACTGAACCGATGATTCATAACTTGGGTTAACCTGCCTTCTTAATGATTCGTCATGTTTTAATGCAGGTCGCTTGTACCTGATAGGAGTAGTACGTATTTTACTCATGATACGGCCACAATGCTTAAAAGCATGCTCAATAAAATAATCGGATTGAAATGAAGGCAGATTTGCGAGAAATATTTCCCTAGATGGGCGTACCATCGATATTATTAGTGCGAGCTGGTTATTGACAGTATTTTCTGTGACAGATAGAAATTCAACATTTGGTAAATCGGTTCCATGTCAGATTCCGTCCATGTTGTTGTAACATTGTTTGAACACCGGCCATCTTGTCGGCTCTACAACTAATAAATCTCGATTTCAGTGATCAGCAAAACGTAAAAAAAGTGCACAAATTACGCGCTGACCATATACAACTTGAAAAATAGCATAAAAAGCCTGTTGAACAGAATCGCTACTAACACACGTTCTATGCATGCGATTAGTAATACTACTTAAGATTGTTAATTAGTCCTGAAACTAATGGCAATTAACGTGTGGTTAAGTGCAGTGAGACAGATATTGAATGGGGAATACTTTGATAAAATATTGTATTCAAATAGTTAAGTGACAGGTATCAGTGAATTGATGAATTCAAGTATTATGATGGTGTTAGTGCGTATGGTAACCGTTTCTAACAATTGTATGATTTAATTACGACATCACCAATACTATGATTTACTGGCAATGTGGGGCTGTTTTCATTGCGCTAGGTCATCAAAAAATACTCCAGTAGTTCATGTGACAGTTTCTTTGTTGTTGGTTATGTGACGTAAACATTAGTGTAAATAATGAAATTAAAATGCATCATTTCATGTGACGAATGTATCAACATTAAACATGTTGTTCGAGCGATTTACAGTACATTGTCTGCGTTTCCAACAGAGATGCGCACGTGCATGATGATATATTCTACGCTTGGCAGTAAAACATTGAAACCAGGATTAGCATCATATACTGCAGGTATACAACAATAATCCATTATGACCTTGGATGTTGTTTCTATTTTTGTTGTAAAACTGTACTTTTACGGATACTATTTTATGCAGTGCATGTGACAAGTAATCCAATAGCGATACATCTACGTTATAATTTTTTCTTATTTATTCCAATTAACGCTTCACTGTTTCAGAATAATGTTCCCGACCCTACATACAAGTGATATAATAGCCATGTCGCATGCCATATTGGTAGAGAGTTAATGCTTACAATAAAGCTATCGAACAAAATGCAGCCAATTATTGCTTACATCAAATTCAACCATGCCTTGCTACGAGCAAAAAGACATATCGCTCGCGACAGTGTTTAACTGTATTTGAGGTAAGTCTGTAACGAACTAATACTAACTGTAAACAACAATAATAGCATGAGTTCGTACATTAAACAATACTGAACACAAAATTATTTCAGTGATACCGTATGTGTATGTCGTACAGCGGCTTGTCGGTTATTAAATGTTTCTCGTACAGCGGCGATTGTACATAATTTTAAAAAAAGACGTTGTGTTACACAAAATTAATTACGCACCTTCTAAGGTATCCCTGCAAATATAAAATAAAACAAGTATTCTACGATCTCAATTCAGCGATAGCTGCAATAGTATCCGTCCCGTGCATGCAAATAAAATACACATAAGCCCCTACCAGCCAAATATTGGTATTTAATCAAGCTTGGTTACTTTGAATATCGTACGCACATACATTAAACTGGATATTTATAATCAGTCACCGCACTAACAACTACAAATGAAAATATTTGCATTATTACTATATTACTACTATATACTATATAATAAAATATAATAAAATAACGGTGATAATATTGATAAATTTAGTTTGGTTTTCACAATGGAAATTATGTTTCACCAATGCTATAATATATATACTACTATTACTGTTGATTTGAAAGTACTGTAGAATACTAAGAAATCGAAGAAGATGAAAAAAGTATGAA